GATGAAGGTGGCACTTGATTTAATTTTTTTTTTTTTTTGCTTTTTGGGTCACACCTGGTCATGCACAGGGGTTACTCCTGGCTCTGCACTCAGGAGTTACTCCTGGCGGTGCTCAGGGGACCATATGGGATGCTGGGAATCGAACCCGGGTTGGCCGCGTGCAAGGCAAACGCCCTATCCACTGTGCTCTCTCTCCAGTCCCCTGATTTTAATTTTTTAATTTAGTTTAGAAAATGGAATTTGTTCTTCTCGTGATGCTTATTGGATAAAATTGAGCATTAGGGAAAGTTCAAAGGAGGAAAGTATTCTCAATTTTTACCATTTCCTTTGATTTGTTAGGTAGTTATAGCCTGCTTTGTTTCTAAGAAAGATTCGAGGTGATTTTTATTATGAATTTTATTATTTTTAAATGATGGTGTATTTTTCTTAGGTTTTAATTTTTTTAGTTGTGTTTCTAGCAGATATGTTTCATAGTATCTATTTTTTTTGTTTACTTTTTTTTTTTTTTGCTTTTTTGGGTCACACCCGGCAATGCACAGGGGTTCCTCCTGGCTCTGCGCTCAGGAATTACCCCTGGCGGTGCTCAGGGGACCATTTGGGATGCTGGGAATTGAACCAGGGTTGGCCGCTTGCAAGGCAAATGCCCTACCCGATGTGCTATTGCTCCAGCCCCTGTTTGTTTACTTCTGATGTTGAAGGTCCATTCCAATTCCAAATTTCGATATGTTGATTTGGATTTAGAGATGTAGAAAGAGCAAACTGCAGCAGTCAAGCTGAGAGTTTATCAGCTCCTATTGTATAGCTTGTTTTTTGGTCCTTCTGTATAGCTTGGGGCAGGGAAATATTTCCTGGAGGTAGACCTGGATTCTGAAACTGGTTCTCCACGTAACGAACATGGCACTGAAATGCTCTGAGCCTTGGTACTTTCCTTGGTAAAGCGTGTGGATGTTTGGAGCTTTGGGCCTTTCTCACTGTTTAAGGCAGGCTTAAGGCAGGGGCCCGAGGGTGGCTGATGATGTGGATTAGAAAAAAGTCACAGTCTTAGAGCCCAAGCGCCCAAAGGCATTATAGAGGTCTTTGACATCCAGGACCCCACTGAGAAGGAGGGATCTCAAACCCCACTTTGAGATGCAGAAGTCCCATGGCAGGATCCAGGTTGGACCCTCTGGGAAGAGAGGTTCTTGGAGAAACTAGGGCTGTGATAAGAATATCCAAGACCATGAACAGTTCCAAGCTCTCCCCCTTGGCACCACCCTAGCAGTAACTTGGAGGGCCAGTATGAGAAAATCTTTTAAAAACGAACTGTGCAGAGGCAAAGGCGCACATACCTGTATCCTGGGGATTCGCCTCGCCTCTGCTCAGGATGTGTGCTTGGCTCTCTCCCCTCTGGAGAAGCTCGTGTTCTTTCTTTTTTCTAGGGGGGGGGGGGTGACACCTGGAGATGCACAGGGGTTACTCCTGGCTCTGCACTCAGGAGTTACTCCTGGCAGTGCTCAGGGGACCATATGGGATGCTGGGAATCAAACCCGGGTCGGCCGCATGCAAGGCAAACACCCTACCTGCTGTGCTATCTCTCCAGCCCCTCGTGTTCTTTCTTGAGTGCATAACTCTCCCTCCCCACTCATGGTTCCCTAAATAAGAACTGTTTTACTTGGGTGTTCATCTCCTGAATTTTTTTTTTTGGTGAGGGCAGACAATGATCCTGTTAACTCCAAGGACTGACCTTTCCTTTCTTCTGTAGAACAGATTCCTTGCTCCAGTCCTTGGCTGTGGCTCCCTGAGAATTCAGGTGATGGGGGATTGTCTCCGTGGTGTGGAGGTGCATGGAGCTGGGGAGCCATATGACTAGTCCCTTCTGGAGCTGCAACCCTTCCCCCAGCCTGTTTGTATGGTAGACACTTTACTTCTGTCTCTGTCTCTGTCTCTGTCTCTGTCTCTGTCTCTGTCTCTGTCTTTGTTGCTGTCTCCATCTCTGTTTCTGTCTGTGTCTCTTTCTCTGTCTCTCTCTTTCTCTTTCACTCTTACACTTTCTCTGTTTCTCTCTCCTCCTTTTGGGGCATTATGATTACTGAGAGGTTATGTTTGTTCCGTTACCTACTTTCAGCATACAGTTCTTATCCAGAGTTATCATTTCCAACTATCTTTGTCATTGTGTTCCCTTCTCTCTCCCAACTGTCTTTTCCCCAAGCACTTGAAGCAGGCTTCCGTGGACCAGTTCTCCTGGTCCTTATCTCTACTGTCCTTTGACATTAGTCTCATAGTATGTTTTTAACATCCCACAAATGAGTACCGTCATTCTATGTCTGTCCCTCTCCTTCTCACTCATTTCACTCAGCATGGTACTCTCCATGTCCTTCCATTTATAAGTGACTGTCATGACTTCATTTTTCCTCACAGCTGCATAGTATTCCGTTGTGTAGATTTACCATAGTTTCTTTAACCAGTCATCTGTTCTCATGTACTCAGGCTATCTCCAGATTCTGGCTACTGTGAATAGTGCTATAGTAAACAGAGGAGATGAAGATGGCAGTTTTGCCGTGTGCTTTTGGGCCCCTGGTGGTATATTCCAGAAAGGTATTGCTGAGTTGTATGGAAGCTCAGTTTCTAGCTTTTTGAGGAATTCCCATATTGTTTTCTGAAAAGGCTGGACTAGTCAGTATTCCCGCTAACAATGAAGGAGAGTTCCTTTCTTCCTGCATCTTCACCAACACTGGTTGTTCTTGTTCTTTTTGATGTGTGCCAATCTCTGTGGTGTAAGGTGATGTCTCATTGTTGTTTGATTGGCATCTCCCTGATGATTAGTGATGTAAAGCATTTCTCTGCATGCTTTTGGCTATTTGTATTTCTTCTTTGAGGAAGTATCTGTTCATTTCTTCTCCCCAGTTTTTGATGGGGTTGGATTTTTTTTTTTTGTAAAGTAACCCTTTATCCGATGGGCATTGGGTAAATAATTTTTTCCAATCTTTGGGCTGTCTTTGTATTTTGTCACTGTTTCTTTTGAAGTGCGGAAACTTCTTAGTTTAATGTATTCCCATTTGTTTATCTTTGTTTCCACTTGCTTGGTCAGTGGTGTTTCATCTTTGAAGATGCCTTTAACCCCAATATCATGGAGGGTTCTACCCCTATTTTTCTCCATGTACCTTATGGATTCAGGTCTGATATTGAGGTCTTTAATCCATTGTGATCTGACTTTTGTGCCTGGTGTTAGAAAAGGGGTCTGAGTTCATTTATTTGCATGTAGCCGTCCAGTTTTCCCAGCACCACTTGTTGAAGAGGCTTTCCTTGCTCCATATCGTATTTCTTGCTCCTTTACCACAGATCATATATTTGATCATATATTTGAAGATCAGTGGCAGGATGTTCACTCTGTTTCATTGATCTGTGGGTCTGTCTTTATTCCAATACCATGCTGTTTCAATTACTGCCACTTTGTAGTACAGTTTGAGATTGGGTAAGGTGATGCCTCCCATCTATTCTTCTTTTTCCCAAGGATGGAATCTGTTTTTATCTTCTTCCAGTAATAATTTCTTGGATCAATGATTTGTGCTTTCCCCATTCTCGTATTATTTTTTAAATTTGGGGCATACCCATCAGTGCTCAGGGCTTACTATTGACTGCACCCAGGAATCACTCCTGGTGAGACTGGGGGACCATATGTGATGCTGGGGATTGAACCTGGGTCACCTGGTATACAAGGCAAGCGTTCTGCCTTCTATACTGTCTCTCTGGCTCCTGAATTTTTCTTTCTTTTACGTGCTTTAAAGTATCCGAATTGGTGGAGCTGGAGTGATAGCACAGTGGGTGGGGCGTTTGCCTTGCATGCGGCCGACCCGGGTTCGATTCCCAGCATCCCATATGGTCCCCTGAGCACCGCCAGGAGTAATTCCTGAGTGCAGAGCCAGGAGGAACCCCTGTGCATCACCAGGTATGACCCAAAAAGAGAAAAAAAAAGTACCCGAATTGGTACCTGACTTAGGAGAGCTTAATTTTTGTTTGTTGGTAGGAATATTAACAATTGTTACAGTAAGAATACAAACATTAGTAGATACCATTTTTTTAAAAAAATTTTTTTATTAGTGAATCACCGTGAGGCACAGTTACAGACTTACAGACTTTTGTGCTTGTGTTTCAGTCATACAATGATCCACCAGTGCCCATTTTCTACCACCAGTGGTCCCAGCATCCCTCCGACCACCTCTACCTCGTCCCCTCCACCCCACCCTGCCTCTGTGGCAGGGCATTCCCCCCCCCCCCTCTCTCTCTCTCTCTCTCTCGTGTTGTGGTTTGCAATAGAGGTATTAAGTGGGCGTCATGTTCGGTCTATAGTCTACTTTCAGCCCACATTTCCCATCCTGAGCGGACCCTCCAAGCACCCTTTACTTGGTGGTCCCTTCTCTATCTGAGCTGCCTTTTCCCCTAGCATGTGAGGCTGGCTTCTAAACTGTGGAGTAATCCTCCTGATACTTATCTCTACTATTCTTGGGTGTAAGTCTCCCATTCTGTTACTTTATATTCCACAAATGAGTGCAGTCTTTCTGTGTCTGCCCCCCCCCCCCCCTTTCTGACTCATTTCACTTAACATGATACTTTCCATGTTGATCCACCTAAGTGCAAATTTCATGACTTCATCTTTTCTAACAGATGAGTAGATGCTTAAATATTTTCTATGTGCTGAGAGCTCACATCCATTGGCTAACTTAATCTTTAATGGGTGCTGTCCTCATGGCAAGAGATTGAAAAAAGAATTGGAAGCATAAGTATCATGCATTTTATCACGTGCCCACTGCATCTAACACATATCTGGCTTGCTAAAGGAGGGAAGGAATGAATAGCCTGCTGGAAGGTCATTCAGCCCTTAGAGCCAGAATTCTGCCCCAGAGTCCGGGCTGTTGCCCTCTGCCGGGCTTGCCTCCCAGTCAGCTCACACATCGTGCTGACCTGATGATTGTCCCTAGTGATCAGGCACTAACTCATCTCTCATCACACACGTTCTCTCGTAGCGGCCTTGTTCCCAGTCTGCCAGCTAACCTGGGGGACGTCAGCGCCACTGCCGCTCTGGGAAATGGTGGTAAGTACCTTACACTGGATCTTATGTTTGGGTCAGAGTTTGAGGTGGACGAGACCCCAGACCCAGGGCCTTGAGGGGACTGGGGCTGGGCTTTGAGGTTGGTGGTGGGAGGGGGAAGATTCCCACCCTGCCCACTGAGTGCTCCTAGTAGATGCTCAGTTTTTCTCATTTGCTGTTCCCCTTCATACACATGAGATTAGCAGAGTCCATCATCCCTCCATAGGGCCTGGATCCTGGGGTCTGTTCCTCACTCCCCAGCTCCTCAGGTTCAGCCTGAGTTTGCTGGAGCAGTGATTGTACTCCATCAGTGGTGGTGTTCCTGGTCTCAGTGGCTGAGTGGCCAGTGGCCAGCCACTGTGAGGTATGGTGTGTCCAGGACTTCCCAGCCAGCCACTGGATTCCGTTTGTGCCTGAGACCCGGCGTTCCCTCCCGAGCAGTCCTCTGGAGACAGATGACTGGGGAGAGCTTAGGAGCCGGAGCAGCTGTTGTGTGCGGCTGGAGTATGAGGAGACCCTGCTGTGTGGCTGGAGCTTGGCAAACACTCTCCCATGCATCCATGAGTTCCTGCTCATCAGCCCTGCAGAGGTGGCGCTGGGTTGTTTATTCTCTGGCTCTTTTCTCTTCTCCCGATGGATGAAGCTTGGCGCACAGGGACCATGTCTTCCTCGCAGGCGGCCTCCGTGTCCCAGGGCTGATTTCTGCAGAAGACTTGGGCCCACACACCACCTTCAGGTTTTCCTTGTGAGCTTCTAATACAAAATCCAGCTGTTGTGGTTTCTAGCCTTCCCGTGCACGCCGGGCAACGAGGAGCAGGGAATGGAGCAGCTGGTTCCCTGGTTCTTGGTACCTCTGCTTCCTGGCCAGGCCACGGTGCAGTACACTGGTTCCTGGCAGATCCACAAGGCAGACGGTGGAGTGGAGAATATGCTTGAATAAACCCTCTGATGTGTGTTGTGAGAGGCCAGGAGAAGGGGCTGACCTGGGTGGGGAGGTGGTGGGTATAGCTGGCACTGCCCTGGCACTGGCTGTGGAGCTGAGACCGGCAGGGTGACTCCAGAGAGATGTCTAGAGGATCCTGGGCCCAGGCCAGAGGAGGCCCGAGAGGCCGGGTAACCACGGATGCCTGCTGGGGCTTCCCAGTCGGCCCCGCCACTCCTGACCCTTTGTCTTGTGGGTAGTCTCCCAACAGGTACTGTGCCCCCCACCTCTGGGACTCTGTGAGGGAAGACCCCCACCCCTCTCTTCCCACCCCCTCATCTGCGCAGTGCCTGCTGCAGCCTCTTTCTGCCACAGCTCCAAGCGTGATGCTCCCGTGGTTTCTCCCTGGGCGATGGAGGGGAGCGTTTCTCTCGAAACTCACCGTGTTTCGCTCCACTCCTTTCATTTACTCCCGTTGGCGACTTCAAAGCCTTCTGGAATCTGAGCCTCCCTCCAGCCCATGGCCTGGATTATCCCGTGTCCTCCGGACAGGCAGCCTTTTAGCCTCGTGCATGCCCTGGTGTTTCTTGTGATGTTCCTTAGCTCCGAACCCTCCCCCGACTCCTCAGAGTCCCGAGCATCTCTGCAGAGGCCAGCGCAGTTGCCGAGACTCTCGCTGGCGCCCTTGGTGCGGTTGTGGGTCTCTCGCCTTCAGTGCTGTGGCTTCTTGGCTGGGCCTTCTCGCACCTCAGATGCTGTGTTTCACCGGGGTTGTCGCCTCCTTCCGACCCTGTGTCTGCTAGAGGTCCCCTTCTCACTGGCCTCCTGTGCTGCAAGTGGCCGCCTTCCTTTCCTGTTGCCATTCCTGTCCTTAGGCACCCCTGCAACTCCGTGGGGTTCAGCTCCTCATCTTTTCTTCCTGGTGGGTCAGCTGCCCGTGCTCTTTTCCCTGCTGTGGCAGCATCTTGAATGGAGCCCAGGGCTGAGGAGGCCCTTAGCGAGCGTCTGTTGGACAGAAGCTGTGTATTTTCTCAGCGCCTAGAAGGCACCACGCACTTGGTGCTGCAAACCATTGGCCAGCAGCTCGGTCTTGCCTGCCGGGTTGGGAGCTTCTTGGATGCGGGCCCCATGTCCCTTCCGCCTTTGTTTCCCTGGCTGTCCTCCGGTGCAGAGTGGTGCTGGAATGGAATGTCCCTGAGTAAAGGAAGCTGCAGAACACTTTGGGTATCGGCAGAGGCCTCCGGCAGCCCGGCCCATTGCCTGCTTTTGAAAATCAGACTCTTATTGGAATAGCTCCTTCATCTGCTGATGAATTATTGGTCGGTGTGGCTGTGCTGTGAGAGTTGAGTAGTGCTGACAGACTTCAGGCTTTGTGGATGTGGCGGGGCTGATTGGAAAGCCCCTCAAAGCTGAAAACACTGCTTGTCTGCTGCTTTAAGATGAAGCTTGCCCACCCTTGTGGCCACGCAAGTGAGACACTCTCTCTTTTAATTGCCCAGCACACGAAGCCTGCACCCTGGGCAGCAGAGTAAGTGTTTGACAGGCAGTAAGGAGGCACATGTCTGACCAGGTCTGTTTTGCCACCTGCCATATGCATTTTTTTGGTCCATCCTTTGACATATACATTGTTATGTGGAGGCTAGTTTAAGTTGTAAAGAAAATAGGATGCCGTAGATGGCACAAGTTCCTAAACTTACTGGGCCTCCTGACTCTTTTTCAGGGGAAAAAAATAAATAAATAAAATTGCCCGGTGCTTCCCTAGAAATCTTCCTTTTCTTTTTTTTAAGTAAACAGAAATACATTTCCTCCCTACCGGACCTCCCCCCCGAATTGCACTCAAGTTGCATTCTGGATTATTCTAGCAACCCTCTCAGCCCAGAGGAGACACTAGTTAGAGTCCCCTAGATCTGACAGAGTCCCTGCAGGGAACGCTCTGGACACTGTGCATGGGGTTTCCCCCCTGGACGCTGCCCTGCTTGGGGGGTGCGGCTGCAGGCAGTGTGAGTGATGCTTCCCTTTGTCCCTTTTCTCTTCATAGTGCTCCCAGGGGCGTCAGAAGAAACGGTGTCTCCCACCAGAGCACGGAACATGAAGGACTTTGAACATGTAAGTGCAGATGCCGACTCTCATTACGAACAGACTGTTTCTGTGCCCACAGTGCAGCTGGCCTGGGGGGGGGGGCGGGTTTTCCGGAGAGGGGTCTGGGTGGTACAGGGCTGGGGCGGGCAGGTGTGCTGGGCCTGGTGCTCCTTCTCCCTCCCCATCCATGCTCCACTCCGAGCCAGCTCTGGCTTCTGACAGGAGCAGCAGTTTGGGATATTTCTTTTTTTGTTTTGTTTTGTTATGTTTTTTGGGTCACACCCGGCGATGCACAGAGGTTCCTCCTGGCTCTGCACTCAGGAATTACTCCTGGCGGTGCTCAGGGGACCATATGGGATGCTGGGAATCGAACCCGGGTCAGCTGCGTGCAAGACAAATGCCCTACCTGCTATACTATCGCTGCAACCGGTTTTGTTTCGAGGTATTAACAGCAGTTTGGGATAATTCTGGGGTCCCAGATGGGAGGTGCTCGTTACCTTAAGGATATCACCACCAGTTTAAGGTAGTATTATGACTCGTGTTCATCAGGGCTTTCTTGTGTCGTATGATACATGGTTTATAGTTCCCTCTTAGTCCTTGCTGCAATTCTTTGAGGTTATTTTGTATAGCTGCCATTTTAAGGCCCTAATAGTTTTTTTGTACGGCTCCCATTTCGGGGCTCTAACGGTTAATGGAGGGAGCTCTATCACCTGGTATCTCTTTGGCAGAGCAGGGATCAGAATCCAGGTTTTCGGTGGCTGTGAAACTGTTAGTCTCCCCACTGATGTGTGCTGTCTGCTTGCATCCCCCCGCCCCCTCTGCCCCCTGCCCCACGTCCCTCCAGTCACAATACAGACCAGTGAAAGGGCCTGGGCTGGGCTGGGGTGTATATGGGGTGAGCTTCCTGTGCCTCCTCTTTCTATAAAGTCAGTGTAAAGAACACAGCCCGTGGTAAGCACAAGGAGGGCAATTTTTTTTTTTTTGGTTTTGTTTTGGGGTCTTAACCTGCAGTGCTTAAAGGTGATCCCTGGCTCTGCACTCAGGAACCTCTCCTGGCAGGGTTTGGGGGACCATATGGAATGCTGGGGCTTGAACCCCGATCAGTTGTGTGCGAGGCAACTGCCCTCCCTGCTGTACTAGTGCTTCTGCTTGGCATTTTGCCCACTTCACCTTTGTGGCGGTCAACATGGGAATAGCCTCCGCCCAGCTCTGCCCTGTGATGCCCCGAGAATGTTTACGGGGGGGCAGAGATTTGACTTACTTGCTGATTGTCCTTCAGCCGTGTGTCTCTCATCTGTTAGCGGAGGGTGTTGGCTTGTCAGGCCATCGGAAAATAAGATTATTTTCCCAATTCCAATTCTCCTTCACAAGTTACCTGTCCCGTGCTCTCATTTATCACGGGAGGAATGAAACCCTTCTTCATTTGTAACCGAATGGAATCCAGACTCCTCGAGGTGCGGGAGATGCTTATCAGCCCGAAGACTGAGGGCGCAGCGAGGACGGCCCACACTCAGGCTTTGCTGTCCCTGTCGTCTTCCCAGAGCCGAGCGGTTCTGTCTCTGGATTTAATTTAGAATACTCATTACCGCTAATAGTCATCTGCAAACCACCAGCGACCCATTGAAGGAACGACTTGTCAGATCTCTAATGGAAACAAGTAATTTCTAAGCTTTGAGTTGTTATAATTTCAGCTGTACAACGTGATCCTTGCTGTGGGGTCTGGGGGCCTCCCCAGCGAATAGGATTTGATTATTCCACGGTGTGGGTAATTAAAATGAGCGAGACTGTTAAATAATTGTTCCTGTTTTCATCATAAGAGGAATAACAGTGTCTGTTTATTGAGCTCTTGTCCTGAGCCAGGCGTGGTGAGGGTTCTGTTCTTTTTTAACATGATGAGAGCGTTAAAATAACTCTGCAAGATACAGACCTGTTTTATTTTCAAAGAGTACAATATTGGATTTTATTTGTAGACTAAAAAAAAAGAACCTTTTAATTTTGGCTTCACTTTTTTTTTTTTTGCTTTTTGGCTCACACCTGGCAATGCACAGGGGTTACTCCTGGGTCTGCACTCAGAAATTACTCCTGGCAGTGCTCAGGGGACCATATGGAATGCTGGGACTCGAACCTGCCCTACCTGTTGTACTATCGCTTCAGCCCCTTGGCTTCACATTTTATTGTTGGCCTTTTACATAGGGGAGGAATCCTAGAATTGTCCAATTGTTTTTCATCATTAGAATGAAATCCTGCGGGACCATATGGAATGCTGGGGATCGAACCCGCGGTTCTCTAAAAATTATTGGAAAAGCTGAGGGGTGAGGGCCAGTTGAGCTAGGGGTGCCGGGAGTCTCTGCTGCCTCCCAGCTATGCCTTCTGGACTGGAACAGACTGCCTGTCCCTTCGTATCTGCAGGTGTCAGCCACAAGACTGAAGTCTGAGGAAAGTTCCCTCACTGGCCACTTCGGTCTTGTGGCCAACATGCAGGGGGCTGGCATTGGCTGGTCACTGGGCCTCTCTGTACTTGGTCTTAAAAATAGGCTGAATGAGGCTGGAGCGATAGCACAGCAGGTAGGGTGTTTCCTTGCACATGGCTGACCTGGGTTCGATTCCCAGCATCCGCCCCTTGAGCACCACCAGGAATAATTCCTGAGTGCAGAGCCAGGAGTAACCCCTGTGCATCACTGGGTGTGACCCAAAAAACAAACAAACAACAACAACAAAAAGAACCTGAAAAAAATAAAAAAGACTGTGATGGTTTCTGCGTCAATGGGGCTGTCGTGAGGATTGATGAGTCGGGCGCATGGGCACGAGCTCATTGTGGGCGCGAGCCGTCTGACCTCCTCCCTCCTGTATTTACGGCCGTTCCTTTGGCCTGTGCCCTGGGATTTTGCTGGCCCATGCTCACAGACATTCTCGGTGACCCGCCTGCCATTGTTCTCGAAGGCGAGCATGCGCCCACTCTGCGAACGCTATGTGGAATTTATGTCTTCTCCTTTACGGCTCCAGTCCTTTGGCTGCTGTTAGGTTTTTATGATATTAATATCTTTTATTGTAGCACTTCCCAGAGAAAATTCTGCAGTTGAGATGGAAGTGACCACCCAGGTCTCAGTGTCTCCCTTTCAGGTCTTTACGAGTGCTGGGGGTTTTTCCATTTAGCCAGAGCCCGGAGGCCTGGTGCCCGTGTAGGGATTGTGGAAGGGCCTCATCGGAAATGCTGTTGGTGTTTAATGTGATTGCAGCGTCGACATACATCATTGGGGGGTGGGCGGTGGAAATACATAGTTTTGAAAACTGTTGTGTGGGTCACCTTGGCAGTGCCCGGGACCACCAGAACTGCACTGGTGGTGTTCAGGGGTCTTGTGCAACTGGGGGTCAGGCCCACAGCCGTGCTTGTGCTCCGTGTGCAGTCACTTGAACCACCCCTCCCAACTGCATCTTCCACTTTCTTTTTGAAAAATGTGGTGCGAAGGGGAACCGGAGCGATTGTCCAGAAGGGAGGGCGCTTGCCTTGCAGGTGGCCAACCTGGGTTTGATCCCTGGCGTCCCATGTGGTCTCCCCCGAGCCTGCCAGAAGTGGTCCCTGAGTGTAGGGCCAGGGATGAGCCCTGAACACCACTGGGTGGGCCCCCAAACAAACAAACAAAATAATAAAAAAAACTGTGGTGCCTGGAACCCAACACGCATGTGAGGCTTGGACTCTGCCACCGAGCCGTGAGCCTGGCCTGGCTCTGTGCGCTCTTGATGTCAAGAGGAAGCTCTTGATTGCCCTGATGTCGGCCTCTGAGGATGGATTTGTGAATGAGCACCAAGACCCGTCAGTTAGGGTCCTGTGAGTTGGTAAACGACAGACCTCCCTCTGGTGTTCTCAGATGTCCCGTACATTCATCTGCAGCGATTTTCAAATGCATGCTTTGTGCCAGGCTTTGGTTCTCGGGACAGAGATTCTGCAGTAGATTCAGAAGGTGAGTCTCTCTGCCTAGTGGGAAGAAGGAGAGGAAGTAGGTTAGCTGTAGGGGGAAGGACAGGGTGTCTGTCTGGCACACAGAGGAAGAGCTCTGAACTGGCGGGGGCGGGGGGTATCTGGGACTCCTTCCTGGATGAGGTGAGTTGGGGCCTTGGGGAACGAGGGCTGATGGATGGGGAGCACTGTGGGTGCCAGGACCCACCGCGCTGGTACAGAGAGGCACTTCAGTGGGTAGAAACTGCGAAGGGCGGGGCTCCTGTGTTTCAATGGTGTGTGCAAAGGGCCCCTCTGGCCGATGTCTGCCAGGTGGACTCAGGCGCCTGGCAGTGTCCCGGGAGGGAAGCGGGGAGGAGAGAGGGCCTGGGTGTCGCTATGTTCCAAGGAGGGTCAGGAATTTAGGACTGGAGGACTCGGAATGTCCTCTCCTCCCGCCCTTTCACTGGGCACACATGGAGGGAGAGGGAGGCACGTCCCCGGCTTTGACCCCAGGCCTCGGTGCCACTCTGCAGCTCCGCACGTGCCTCTCTGACGGAGAGAAACCCGTGGCTGCTTTTGGGTTGGGACATGGTGGCCTGTCATCTCGTACCCTCCGAGCTGAGGAACTCCTCCCGTGCGGCAGGGCGTTTGGAAGGAAGGAAGACGGCGTGTCCAGTTAGTCTTAGAGGGAGCCTGATCTGTCCACTGTAATTGTTTGTGCCCCGAAGTGCTCCTGGTGGATGTGGCCTGACCAGGGCAGTGCTTTGGAAGGACGGTGTGTGTCTGGTGTGACCTTTTCTGGGGAGATCAGTCTCTCTCTCTCTCTCTCTTTCTCTATCTTTTATTCTGTCTTTCTCTCTCATTCTCTCTTTCTTCTCTTCCCCTGATGGAAAACATTCTTTGACTAGGAATAGTTTGTAAAGACTCTGTTCAAAGGGGCGGGCTGAACCGTGGCTGACATAATCTCTCAATATGGACATTCTGAGATCCCTTCTCATTTTTCACTTCCGAAACTCTCCCAGTGTGTAAGTCTTCTCACATTTACAAGATTGTTTCCTTAGGGCATGTTCCTAAAAAATGTAATTTCTGGATGTCAGAGGTATCAAGTCAAGCACATGCAGCAAATAGCAGATATTGCGGGTAGGATTTCTGATGTTTGTGCTTTTTATTTTTGTTTTCAGGCCATTGCAGGGAGTGCTCTGAGGGCCTTGCTGGGTCAGAGAGCAAACCTGGGGGTCCGTCTGCCAGGCACATTCTCCAGCTCTCTGAGCCCCCTCCCTGCCCCACCCCGCTACAGCTTGGAGCAGGATTTCTTATTTCTGGTGGTTTCCTTTCTGAGGAATCTGGGAAACTTTCTGAGGAATCTGGGAAACTGACCTGGGTTCAATCCTCAGCATCCCATACGGCCCACCGAGCACCACCAGGAGAAGTTCCTGAGCACAGAGCCAGGAGGAACCCCTGAGCATCACTGGGTGTGACCCAAAAAGCAAAGAAAAAAAATTGTTAGGAGGGTGATGTGAATCACGACATGAGAAGCCCCTAGCCTCTTCCAGGCACACAGTGGTCACTCTTGGTGCTGGTGCCCAACTCAGATAGTACTTTCATTTCAGCCAACTCCCTGCGTCCTAACCCCATGCTTTTTTGTTGCCGTGGTGCTTGTTTCTTCGACGTGGAAGGACATCGCTAACTTCTCTGCCAAGTCCTCAAGCCCTGCCCCGCATGATGCTGTTTTTGCCTTTCTGAGCTCAGCAGGTGTTGTGGAGGGCTCTTCCCTCTGGCACCCTCTTGGAAGGCGGGCCCCTGCCCTTCCCATGCCAGTGTGGTTGGTCACAGAGGCTTCCTAGCTCCCTTCCCTGGCTCTCCCAGAATCCCTGTTTCCTCTCAAAGCAAGCAGGCAGCACTCTGTTATTTTTCTGTTACTGCTTGGAATTTCATGTTTATGTATGTACTTGTATAACACAGGCCTCTGCTTGCTTCCTACCCAGAACTACCCAGAGGAGATGGTGTTGCAGGTAATACATTTTGGTGTTG